GATAATCATAAACAAGCAAAGTTGATGAACAAAGTTTTAATTAACCAAACGAAAAATGCGAATGAAGTCAATGCATACCCCTCATTATATGCCCGTGTTGAAATACGAATGATGCGCCGCGTGAACTCGGCCCACGGCCGATTTAAAGCGCGGACAAACAGATTCTATGACTACTATGTAGTTAGTGGACTCGAGCCGGTCTCGACCCGAGTCCTCGAGTCCGGAGGCTCGAGTCCGAGTCGAGTTCCGCGATCATTGCACTCTGAGCCAGAACGAGACCGGAGACAAGAAAAACGTCTCCGAGACCGTCTCGAGGGCCAAGACGGCTCGAGACCTACAACACTGGTCACAGTCGCGAACACTAAGCAACATCGTCCTCCTACATCGCGGCACTAAGCAACCCGATCGTCTGTCACATCGCGGCACTAAGCAACCCGATCGTCTGTCACATCGCGGCACTAAGCAACCCGATCGTCTGTCACATCGCGGCACTGAAAAGCAACCTGTGCTGTCATCATTCGCGGCAACTAGCAACCCGATCGCCATCTCACTACAGGCACTAAGCAACCGATCGTACCTGTCAGCATTCGGGGCACTTAAGCAACCCGATCGTCGGCTAGACGCCGCCTACATTACGTACGCAGGGCGCACGCGCAGACTCACCTATTGCTCGTAGACTCACGGCCGTTTGGAATGTCGAGCACGATGAGGGGATGCAGAGGAATCCTCGCGCAGTCGTTTCTCGCCGTCTTCAGCTTGCCGCCGTAGATGTGGTCGGAGGGGAACTCTGCGATCGCCGGGTGCATCCGATACTGTGTGTCCAGCATCACCATGGGGCTGTTCTCCGGGAATGAGAACCTGCAATCGCAAGCGCGACGTCCCTCACTGCTTTTTATTCATCCCGTCCGATTTCACGTAGCAGAGATGGGCGCACCTAAGATGCACATAGCTAAGGTGTCGGTGCGCAACATGAAATGTTGGTACAAAACGAGCATGCCCGACGCTCCTATCATGTCTACCGTGCTTCCAAACACACGTGTGAATTTTGTAAATGTGGATTCCGCTCTTGTAACGTGGCCGAACGTGGGATGCTGCGTTGCACCGAACTACACACGGTGGGCAGATCCGGAAATTGTCAGAATTGCAGGAATTGCTAGAAGAAATTCGCACCGTGCAGGGCACGACAAACCCGCTTGCCCGGGGCAACCAAAATTCGCCCTCGGGCAAGTAGCTTGAAAATGCACTTGCCAATTTAAAAATTTAAACAAACTGCGTGCTGTGTCATAACATTAATATATTTTGTATACAAACTCGTATCAGCTGTTCAACTTTCTACCGTGCCGTTAAGTGAAATGCTGGATGTGACTAGTTGTTGGACCTTCATTTACGTTATTTACCATTTAAATTCATATTAGAAAAAAATCTCATGTATTTCTTTATGTTTTTTCGGGCAATTGACTTTTGCCTCCGGGCAGCCAGTTTCATAACCCACTTGCCCGACATGGCAAGTGGAAAACACAAAATTTGTAGCACCCTGCAGTGAATATGGTCATGGCCGTACATAGCCCCCCCCCAGAAATTTAAATTTGCAACTCTTAACAATGTTTCCAGGAGTAGCTCGCTCTGGTGTCTAAGTCTTCTCTCATCTACTGCCCCCCCCCCCACTGAAAATTTCCTGTGTACGGCCTTGAATATGGTGGAGTGGAAGGATTCCACCAAGGATTGTTATTTAGAGAATATGGTTGCATTCTAATTCTTTTGGGTATTTCAATTAGGATTTTTAAACAAAGAGAAATTCCTGCCTCATACTGGATTAATCAGGGGCCGATTATCAGAAACAAAATTAGTCTCAACGTAAGTCTTGACTTTACGATGTTTTTGATAATGGGCCCCATGGCTTGTAGTTATGAAAGAGAAGGTCTGGATCTCCTTCTCAGACCACTCCTACACACGTAATTCCAACTAATAACAGATGATCGCTCACTAAAATACAAGTTCTCTGGCAAGATGGAGTCGGACAAAGGGAAGAAAAAAATCAACTATCAACACATCGCACGATTAAAATACCACGATTATGAAGCTCACCTGAAGTAGTTGTAGAATCTGCTGAACAGAGACCTATCGTAACCCAGCTCCAGCGCTTTCTGTGATAGCACTGTAGCAGGCAGCTGCTCTGGGTCTCCCACCAACACCAGCTTGCTGATTCCGAACTGAAGAGGGATCAGACAGTCCAGTTCCGTGCACTGCGTTGCCTGTTATGTAACGATAACACTCATAATCATAGACAGAGTGCACTCACGGAGTGCATAACTCCGCCAGCGACATACGCCATACGCCATACGACTCACGAACACACGATACACACATGTACTGACATGTACACGCTCCTGCTCAAGCAAGCACTCGCTGGCTTGCTGACTCGCTGGCTCGCTGGGTCGACGCGCTAATATCGATCACGCGAACACACGAACACTAGACTGGTACCCGGTCCCACCTCTCGGCTTAGTTACTCGATGGGGGAATCGAGGTGGGAGCGAGTACCAGTCTAACGCGAACACACGAGAGCGAAAACATAACCTCCTCCAACTCCGTTGGGCAGAGGTAATCATAGACAATGCAATAACGTACTGTCTGTTTGTCTTGTCTTTATTCATTTACAAAGAACTCTTATTAAAACACAATCGACACGTTGTATAGTGCAACTGGTTTACTCCTCCATACGCAAAAGGTTGAAAGCTTTTTTTTTTAATAGGGTTAGGGTTTTTTTAATTGTGTTTCTCACAATGCACCTTAAAACAGGAGTTTGAGTCCATACGGACGTGATGACACTGTGACGTCATTGAGCGACGAAACAAGCTTTCAACAAATTTTGCACAAGGGAGAGATAGTGATCCGCTCTGATTGGCTAATTTTGTCTCTTATTTATTTTTATTATTTTTAGTTAATTTTGTTTTATTTTAGAATTAGGGTTAGGGTTAGGGTTAGGGTTAGAGCTAGGGTTAGGGTTAACTGATTTCTATATCCGCAACACACTAATAATGCACCATCTAGCGGATCACTATCTCTCCCCTGAGACGTACTAGCTTTCAACCTCTTGCCCTCCATACTGCCAAGCACCCTCAGTCGGCACGCATACAAGTGGCGCCACCTCTTGGTGCATATATCCACATCCACAACATCTCCCTTCCTTTAGTTACAATACCATTTTCAGCCAAATTTAGAAAAACATTATACAGTACTGCGGAACTATAACGTTGTTCCTTTCAACTAGAATTCTGTAACATTTCAAACACTACGTAACTCCATACTATAACTACTAACTGCATGAAACTGTAGGTCAGTTATGAACTGGCTCTATCTAACAAACCTCTGAACATACATTTTAGATATACAATGCAACACTTCGTATAATCCATATCTTCCTTCTAAATTCAAACTTGATCAATAAATCTGACTGGTTTCTTAACTACTCTTCCCGATCGAGTCGTTATTCGGACAGGCCCTATAGCTGCAGAAGACGGTTCCTCTTCCTCTATCCGCAGGGTCACTGGGGCAGGAGTTGAGACGGCAATATCTGGTCGTGTATCTCCCTTGCACGTAGTCTCAGGTACATCCATCGGCGGTTGGCACTCAGTCTCAATCTTGTCAACATCTGTTGATTGACGAGTGTAATCTTGTCTTATGAACCTCCTATTTCTCCTGTAGACACCCTTTTCAGTCTGCACCAAAGATCGTATAGTGCCGGAGGCACAAGATAGACCACTCATTCGAAATCACGTGCAATGACCTGTAGTACGCAATGGAGCGCCACGTCCGCCATTTTAGGAAGCAAAACCCCCTCCGCGTCTGTTTGATACATAGAAATAATATGGATAACCATGGTTAATATAGTGTAACGGCCTCGGCCTCTGCTCTGCCGAGCCCTGCGCGCAGTTCGCTCGCCGAACTTTTCGGTGTCAGATGTTTCGCTCCCCGAACTTTTCGGTGTCAGATGTTTCGCTCCCCGAACTTTTCGGTGTCAGATGTTTCGCTCCCCGAAA